GGCCGCAGCCGGACCGCAAACGGCCGCTTGCCGCCACTTGCTCCCCGGCCGCAACCCAGCTGAGTGGCACTGGTGCTGCGCTGCTCAGCTGAGCCCCAGTGGGACAGGAAGGGGGCAGGGCCGTGTATGTCACCGCCCCGCCCCCCTCCCTCGCGGCAGCCCAGCTGAGCAGGCAGCACTCAGCCAAGCGCCACGGCGGGAGGGACAGCCGGACCGCAAACGGCCGCTTGCCGCCACTTGCTCCCCGGCCGCAACCCAGCTGAGTGGCACTGGTGCTGCGCTGCTCAGCTGAGCCCCAGTGGGACAGGAAGGGGGCAGGGCCGTGTATGTCACCGCCCCGCCCCCCTCCCTCGCGGCAGCCCAGCTGAGCAGGCAGCACTCAGCCAAGCGCCACGGCGGGAGGGAAGGGGAAGGGGGTGGGGAAAGACGGAAGGGAGAGAGAGGCAGGAGGAGGAGGAGAAGAGAAAGGGAGAGTGAGAGGCAGGAGGGGGAGAAGAGAAAGAAAGAGATGGAGAGAGAGGCAGGAGGCAGAGGAGAGCTGGGGGGGGGGAGGTAGTAGGAGGAGAAAGAGAGAGACAGAGTGAGAGAGCTCAGGAGAGAAAACCTGAAAATCCTGTCTTATGATGGGCTAATTGGCTAGTCTTATCTTACAATAATATGCACCATTTTGGAATCATGGATAAATGTAAAACGCAGAGGAAAGAAATGTTAATAAAATAGTGATGTCTCCTTTCAAAGCGTCACCACCACAACCTTCTCTGTTGTTGTTTGCACCATGATCATGCCCAGAGACAGACCCTTTTTCTTTTTTAAAGGAGCTATTGGTCTAAATAGACAGCCAAAGGCTAAGGAAGAGGAAGTATGATGATTCCCAAATTTGAAGATTAAACAACTTGCTCAGGAGGTCTATGGAGGAAATGGGGCTAGATCTCCTATGTGTCAATTCAATGCCTTGACCTCGAGGCCAATTTCTCTGTCTCTCTGACTTAGCCTTTACCTTGGGGTCATGCAGTATGGTTCACTGCTATCTCTTCCCACAGCAAGGATTGCAGAAAGGCTGGCATGCCCCAGTTATTAGTATCATTTTATTTGCTAAGTGCCAGCAGTGTGCGTGCGTCCTGTTAGCTTGACAGAGTTAAGTCTCCAGTCAGACAGCTCATTGTAATTCAAGATGCTGAAGCTGGGCAGACCTTTCATCCATTGGTTGCTGGCTGTAGGGACAGTTTGGCAGGTTCCTCTATCACAGAGGTGCTCAACCTTTGTAGGATTGAGCCCTTGCAGAGGAAAGTTAAAGGTTAGAAAGGTAGATGCCCAGTGAAACTGGAAATGAGACAATAACAATGGTCCCAGTTCAATCAAGTCATTCCTTAGAAGTTCCCTGCAGCGTGTTTTATAACAGATTATAAACACACGTAATTCATTGAGTTCAAACTCCTGTTTCTCTCCTCTCAGGCAGAAAAAGGTTAAAGAGTATTTAGATAACTTGAATAGATTGACATCAGCAGGACCTGATGAGGACCCCCTAGAGAGTGGAAGGAATCAGTGTCTGAACCATTGGCAAAAAGACAATGACTGTATTATATCGAGTTGCATTACTAGGAATATCACATGTAAAACAAGTCAGATAATTGTTCTGACCTATTTAGGTCTAAAGTGTGCGGGAGTTCAGAGGCGAGCAAGAAATATGATTAAAGATCAAGAAAAAAAAAAAGAAGCGCTGTGAATTAATGTTATGTGAACTCAGCAAGTTCTCTTTGGAGAAAAGCAGTCGGAAGCGTGAAGAGGTTAACTGCCTGCAGCTATGCAAATAGTTTTTATGAAGGATTAATGATTTTTCTTAGTCAGCAAGGTCAGGATGGGAAGCTCGTCTTAGTAGGGGAGAGGTAAAAGGTGGGTTCAATAGTAGAAAAGGTACAGTGAACATGCAGACATTGGACTATGCTGTAAAATGAGGGTTAGAATTGTTTTCACAGGACACAGTCACAGATAGATGAGATTACACTCCGGTTTGAGAGAGATGATTTAGGAGTAATGAATTCTGAATTCAGTTTTGCACATTAACAGGGAGCTGGGGGTAATTGGTCCAGTAGAGGTTCTTCTGCATCCTGCTGGAAATTGTTTATGCAGGTTCAGATCCAAAGCCAATGGATTTCAGTAACCTCCATGTTCCTATGGCTAAAAGAGAGTTGAATAGGTATGTGATCCAGGAAGCAAAGAACTGAACCATGCCTTCGCAGCTCCAATGTAAAGAAGTCTCCCCCAGAGTCCTTCCTACAGAGTTGAATGATAATACGGATATCTGAGTCCATCACATTGAATTCAAGCTAAGCTAGGATTGCAGAACATGTTTGTTAAACCTGTCAGATGGTGCTTGTTTGAAGGAGTGCACGAAGGGCTGGATGCTCTTGAGGGTGAGCCATGGGACAAGGGGTTGAGGCTCTTTGATTCTATGGTAGTCTTTAATTACATGGTCACATGCTGTTTTTCCCATAACACCCCTGTCCCTTTCTTTACACAGGATGGACACTGCTCAGCTAATGACCAACCATTCAATAATTTGTTAATCCTCCTTGTCACAAGTCAAATCCTGCTCTTAATACAGAGTTATGAATTTCCTCAACAGCTAGTCTATGGCATTCGTCACTAGGATTGGCGTGTTTCCCAAATGTTAATACATTTATCTTCACAACACCTCGGTGAGGAAGGGGAGCACTATTACCCCCATGTTACCACTGGGGAAATGAGAAGAGAGATTCAGGTCAAAAGCAGGGATGTAAATACTCATTTTAAAAGTTAGTGGTTAAATGATATAATTTTACTCCTATAATCATTTCACCATGGATGTCTGGTACAGAGCAGCTGAGGTCTCTTGGCAGGGGCTGCTCCAGAAAGGAGCCCCACAGCTGTGATTCTGCTGGCTAGCCCACTGTGGACAGGAGGCTCCCCCAACCTGGTCATGCACGGGCAGGGCTGCTCCAGCCTAGCCAAACCATGGGTGGGGGGCTGCTCTGGCCAGGCTCAGCCCTCTGGTTAACCAGTTATAGGGAAGGCCTGCTAATAAGGCTAATACTTACTGAACAACCGGGTAACCAGTTATCCTTATATATCCTTTAGTGCAAAGTGTCCACTAATTTTGGGTATCCACTATTAGCTATGTAGGGCCTGATCTTTTTAGAGTATTTAGCATGATACAGTCCTTATATCTTCAAAGCACAGCTTCCATTGATTTCAAAGGTAGCTGTGAGTGCTCAGAACTGCTGCAAACCAGATTCTTGTTGTCCTCAGCTGGGCATCCAGAAAAGGAGGAACACACAATTAGTGGCCATTGATTAAAACGATTTCCGCAGCATCTCTCAGGCACTCTGTGGCAAAGGCAGAGCGAAAATCCAGTTCTCCTGAGAAGCCTTCAACTGCTTTAATCATGAGATCAGCCTTTCTCATCCTGTTCCTCATTTACTATTCACTTTCTGCAACTGGAGTAGGGGGGTCTAACAGACAACAGTCTCCTTAACTACACAACCCCAACTCACGGTCAGCACAATGGAAGGGTGGGAACTGAAACTGTGCAAACTATTATAACATGGCCAAATGTGGACGGTTTTCCATGGACATAGCAAAAGGCACATTTGTGACATAAAGGTCACCGCGCCTCCCAAATTGCAAGTCTCTGCACCAAAGCATGGTGATGCTAGAGTTCCCCAATAAAATGGTCATATGACTATTTTTAAATGGCAAAATAAATATTTCCCTATTATCTGAAATAACTAAACCATTTTTGCTAACATTTCAAAGAAAAAGAACAGACACGCAGCATAGAAAATTTTAGCCCAAACTGTTAAAATGTGACAAAGTTATAAGCCACTGAAATCATGGGCTTATAATGTCAGGCAAGCTGAACTGTGGGTGTCTCACTACCTCTCCAGGTTATAAAGTAAGTAAAGAAATTTCATGTACATTCCCCACAACCTCGCGTAGAGTTGATTTACTGATTGACCCCAGCAGAGGCTCTGACACAGTATTTTTGAAGCCTAGGTGACATGACAAGAAATGCAAGTCTTATCTCACTCTTTAATATCATTACTGTGACCGAAACCCAAGTGTGCCATTTAAACTGCTCAGTGGAAACAGAGAAAATAAGGAACAGAGCCCCGGGGAATCCCTCTGATAAGTGGGAACAGACCAGAAGAAAAAGAGCCTCATTAGGATACTATAAATAGTCCCTGCATGACAGGCTTTAGACCGACTTCATTTAGATCTGTGATGTCACAGACACAGGGGAGGTGACAAGGGGCAGAGCAGTAACTGGGAAGATAGTTGGGAATAGCAACAAAGTAGATTATGGACTGTGAGTTTGACATGAAACTCAGCCAAAATGTCGGCAGCCCCGGGTTTGGAGGTGCAGGGTAAAACCTAACAGAGTTTGTCTTTCTCCTGGTGCTCCCTTTTCCCCAGTATGTTCTACGGCTAGTAAAGAGAGCTCAGCTCTGTCAGACCCAGACACATGTGTTAAATAGCTCTGGTAGGGCCTCTCCCACTTGTGGAGTGCTGGATGTTGTGGCCTAGTTGTTTAGGCTCAGAGTGAGCTAGCTGCCAGCTCTAAACATAAAATGAAATGTGGGTAAAGACCTTAAAGTGAAACATAAAAAAGTATTAGTCTATGAGAGATGGTTCCTAACCATTGATACACCTATTGTGATGGCTACTGGGCACTGTTAGTATAGACATAGACGCCAATTTTCCCTCTAGCTGGGGGGTGCTTAACCCCTCCCCCCCACATCTGCCCCAGGCCCTGTCCCATTCCTATCCTTCCCTCAAGCCCGGCCCCTGCTCCACCCCTGTCCCTTCCGTTTCACCCTTCCTCCAACCCCCCTCCTCTGCTTGCTTCTTCCCCGCCTCCTCCCCTGAGTGTGCCCCATCCCCACTTCTCCCCTTCCGTCCTGGAGCTTCTTGAACACCATGAATCAGCTGTTCATGATGCTCGGGAAGCACTGGGTCAGCGGGTGAGGAGTTGGTCCTCAGGATCACCAATGGATGAGAGGTGTGGGGGGAGGGCAGAAAGGTGGGGGAAGTTGGCTACTGGTGGGTGCTCAGCAGCCACTGATTTTTCCCCGTGGATGCCTATGTGCTCAGTTCACATGTACCTTAGTGGAGCAGTATTTTTAGGCTCCAGTGCCCCACTGTTGTCTGATTTCTCAGATGTGCAGTACCACGCAGAGTCTGGAGACAAGCTCCATTCCAGGTTCAGAATGATGCTGTTAGATCTGGAGCCAGTTGGCAGTTCCAGCTACAAATAAATCTTCAATGATTGCTAAATCCGGGAGTCACTGGTGTCTGGATTTTGGCATAAATATTTCTCGGACTCTGTCCTTCTGGCCTCGAAGGCTGAGGGAAATAAACATTCTAGCCTAGACAGCAAATCTTCTTTACAAAGACATTCACCACCAATATGAGTGGAGAGAGATATTTTTCACATACAGCAGAAAATCTGTTCTCCTATAATGGTGCAATAATGCTAAGGAAAGTTGCAGTGTTTTGAAGCATAGGACATAGAAATAGTCATAGCTGTTCAGACGAATGGTTCCTCTAGTCTAGTATCCTGCCTCTGGTAGTCCAAGATACTTCAGCAAAAGGACAAGAAACTGCAATGGCTACTAGCTAGGATGCAAAACCATACTTTGAAAGTCCGTAGTCTTTATTTGCCACTTGGGAGGGATCACTTGATGATTACGGATTCTGTTCATTTCCTCTGAAACATCTGGGCTTTGGGCAGTGGTGCAAGACAGGATCTGCACTAGATGGATCATTGTCCTGACCCAGGAGAGCTCTTCTGTTCTAACTAGCAGCTGTTTCTGCAATAGGTTCACTCACTGTTCTGCATTGCAGAGACAGGATGCTGAACTGTGAAAGCAGGAAGCTGCTATTTCAGTAACTGGGTGAAATTCTCTAGCCTGTGTTATGCAGAGGCCAGACTAGATCTAATGGTCTTGCCTGGCCTTAAAATCTATGAAATTTTTTTTGAAAAAGGCGTTGTCATGGGGTTTCCAGTTTAGCTGCCATCCAGCGTGAGGATCGAGAGGCGGCAAAAAGCAAACTCTACAGAAGTGTAAAGCAGGCCACTTGGATGCTCTCTAGGGCAGCTGGCTCTCTAGGAGGGAGCAGATTCTGACAAAGTTCACTAAGCATAATACCCACATTAAAAGATGATGTAGGGGCTCATTGGCTACGGCTCTTTGTCAGCCACAACTGTGGAAGGGATGGTTCCATTTTGTTCTCTAGGAATTGTATTTCACGTCGGTGAAAGCAGAATGGGCCACTGAAATGCTGCACCTCGCTGCTGTTTTTCATCTCTCTGTGTAACGCCTCCCGTAGCTTTGCTCTCATCTCCGTCATATAAACCAGATCCTCTTCTCCTAGGTGATCATTGAAGACATTGGCAATAAATCAGTGTACGAATTCCCAGTTGGACGCTGGTTTGCATTGGACGAAGATGATGGGAAAATCCAGCGGGACATTCTTGTGGGAGGAAGTGAGGCCACAGGTAAAGGCAGCTCTCCAGAGTCTGGGGTACGGGGGCAAGGAGAATTGGAGAGGATGCAAAGCTCCAGGTTTAAATAGAAATAAAATTCCATCCAAAAAAATGGAGTGTGACAAGTGAATATCTGCCTCCAGCATGGTCATCCACATAGCTGACTAGCAGGTTAGGATTGGAGAGGCAGTGTCCATTCCTTCATGATCCTTGGTCCATAGGGACCTGTGCTGTGTGGAGATTAAGGCTGTTCAGAGGTGGGTAATCCACTAATCGTGTAGTTGATAAAATGTTTATCGATTACATGATTAGTCAGTAAGGGAGGGCTCCCCCAGACCTGGCTTGCGCTGGGTCTAGGAGCCACCTCTGCTGTGGCTCTGCAGTTTAAATGTACTAAGAGCCTGGCTCTTACTACATTTAAACTACAGAGGTGCAGTGGGGGAGTAGATCCCGGACTCAGCATGAGCTGGGACTGAGCAATCCCCGATAGAGGCAGCAGTAGGAGCAGGGGTGGGGCAGGCGAAGCTGCAAAGACAATGATGGGGGGGAACCGGCTTTTAAACTGGCTTTCCCCTGCACTGGCTTCTGCTTCCCCCCTCTTGCTGCCTCTGTATCAGAGGCAACTAGTGTGGGGATGGGAAAGTGATAAGCCTAGGCTAGGAGACTACTCAACTACTCGCTTGTATCTCTAGTGGAGATCTCTAGCCATGCCTTGTTTAGAAGGTAACATGTCCGTCTGTGATTTGTCATGACCTGCTGTGGACCAAACATCTGAGGTATGTCAGTTCTCCAATGCCCAGCTCATAATGCGCAGTAGTTGTACGACGTGTCCATTGGCCTGGATCATAAAGCACCTATGTAAGCCGTTCCCCAAGCTGATGGCTAATGGAAGAAGGATCCAGTGTATGTGTGAGCTGTCAGCCTTCAGAGTGTGGGCAGCTAATGCCAAGTAGCTTAATCATTTTATCAGTGCTACTGGTGAAAAAGCTACCAACGTGCAGCTGCTTGATCCATTTTATATTTGATACTATTGGCTGGGAAGCGGAATCTTCTTTTGCAACACATTAGGTGCAGTTCCAAACTCCAAGACACATAAACCTCACTACAATGGGTGTCCCTAATCTGGGAACCCCCATGCTACAGTTAAGGAAGAGGCTCTGCATGTTGCCACTCTCCATCTCCATCGCTGGGGGAATGGCAGCATGCAGAGCTACTTCCCCTGAGGCTTTTCCCATAGCTGTGGTGCTTGGGAGTGGGAGGGAGCACAGAGCCACATCTGCACCTGGGAGTGGGCAGCAGGTAAGTGCCCCACCTCTACCCCTCATACCCAGACCCTGCAGCGCCCTTCTTGGCCCCATGCAATCTTTAATCTGGCATAAACTTTTTCCCCTAGAGTTGCCAGATTAAAGAGGTTCAAGTGTATTGACTTTATGATTGTCTAACTTAATCAGAACACAGGCAAACACATGTTTTATCATTGCCTGAGGACATCTAAGCATAGTGTCAGTACGGCAAATTACTGCTGGTCAATGGGACGATTCTGATTCTGTTGGTAGCATTGCCTATATTTCTTTGTTCGTATAGAGAGGAACATCAAGAGCATACTAATAATATTTCTGCATGTTGCCGAGGTTCTTAGCTGCATATCACTACCTGCAACCACTTGAGAGCCTAGAATTCATCCCAGCGAGCTCCATGTGAAACCTACTGGGGATGTAGAATTATTGTTTCATTACGTATGTGTCCTTAAAAATACAATCTTACAGCTATAATACCTGTCCTCTTTAATAAAGCTTTCTCTGATCCTGCTGCCATTCAATATAGTTGGAATTAACTCATTCCATACATAATCTGTGCTCTTAAAGTTTGATAAAAATGAACCACTTGCATAGGATGTGACTACGTACAACTGTGAATGTAACTTTGAAAAAGACATGATTCTGAAGTCCCTACTTAGATACAATTCATCCTTGAAGTTGAAGTTGTTTGACCTGAGCAGGGACTGCTGGGCTGATGCATAAATGTTGATAAATGCACCTTTCAACATTCTTGTGATAGTCAAAATGATTCCTTACTTATTAATAAAAGATTGGCCTGAATACATGTGTGGGAGCCAGGAACGCCTAAATTCTAATAATCCCGGCTCTGCCGTTGACCCTCTCTGTGACATTGAGGTCTTCAAGGCTAAATTTTCAGAGTTTTCAATGGATGTAGAAATTGTTATGCTGGATCAGAGGAGTGGTTCATCTAGTTCAGTGGTTCTCAGCCAGGGATACATGTAGCCCTGGGGCTACACAGAGGACTTCCAGGAGGTACATCAACTCATCTTGACATTTGCCTAGTTTTACAACAGGCTACATAAAAAGCACTAATGAAGTCAGTACAAACTAAAAATGCATACAGGCAATGACTCATTTATACTGCTCGATATATTATACACGGAAATGTGTGTACAGTATTCGTGTTGCAATTGATTTATTTTATAATTATAGAGTAAAAATGAGAAAGTCAGAATTTTTTCAGCAATAGTGTGCTGCGACACTGCTTTCTGTTTTTATGTCTGATTTTGTAATGAAGCTGTTTTAAGTGAGGGGAAACAAATCAGACTCCTGAAGGGGGTACATTAGTCTGGAAAGATTGAGAGGCACTGATCTAGTTGAATATCCTGGAGCTGACTTTCAGTGGCACTGAGGATTTGTATTTCCACTTCGCTTCATCTGGTGCCTCTCATACTCAGCTCCTCTGAAAAGCAGGCCCCTCTTACTTAGGCAACTAAATATGGGTCTAGGCACCAAGCCCGCCAATGGGGAAGGGCTGGACAAAGGGACAGTTGCCCAGGACCTGGCAATCCAAAGAGACCTGAGTGGTCGCCAAATCCCTGGGCCCTTTAAATTGCCATTGGAGTGCCATACTGTGTGCTCTAGGTAGCTCTACGGGCTGGGAGGGCCTGCACAGTGCGCTCCAGGTGGTGTTGAGGGCTGGCTGTCCCTGCCCTCTCCCCTTTTCCCCAAGGCCATACCCTTTCCGCCCCTCCCCCCAAATTGGCCAGGGCTTCTGCAAGTCTGTCAGCCCCCCTGCTAGGCCCTTGACGTTAGGCACCCATTTGAAAACACTGGTGTTGACAACTTTGCTTCCATCTAACTGTTCAAGTGGGAGTAATCTCTGGGCCTGCCTTGTGAAAACTCTGAAGATGTTCAGTATTTTTCATTTAACTTAACTGTTATAGCAAGAATGTCAGAACCCCTGAATTTCAGCTCAGGGCGTTTTTGTTCTGGCACCTTGTAGCAGAGAGGCTATTGCATATGCGTGCACCTGTTGGAATATACAAAGTTATATAAGATTTAGCTGTGTGTTTCTCTGAACACTCTATGGCATGAAAAAACGATCTTATTTACAGTGCCCTGCATGGAGAGTGAAAACAAAACACCCTGCAGGAAATCAATGCAGCAATGAACCACATTCCAAGTCAAGTCAAAAAGAGTTACTTTCACACTTTTGTTTTCTTTCAAACTGACTCTCATTCCTTTGTGAACCCCGCAGGTATCGTTTACAATGTTGCTGTCATGACCGGGGATGTCAGAGGGGCCGGCACTAACTCCAAGGTCCACATCATCCTGCATGGTTCTAAAGGGTTAAGGAACAGTGGGAAGATTTTCTTGGAAGGAGGTGAATTTGAACGGGCCAGGACAGATCTATTTAACATTGAGATAGCAGCTCTTCTCAGCCCCCTGAGCAGAGTCACAATTGGGCATGATAACTGCGGTGTCAGTTCTGGCTGGTTTTGTGAGAAGGTGAGAACAGGTCAATGTCTTTAGGCAGCTGTCAAATTATTTCTCATTTGCAATCTGCCCAGGACAACCAAATCAGTTTAAATATTCTACTTTTATTTAGATTACAGTATCTCCAGTGTACTAAGTCAATTCTATGCATAATGCATGCTACGAGACTGATTGCCACTAATATCCATTAGATGCATAAATCAATCCCTCATTAATTGGGTCAGTTGCTCATTTGCTGTCACAAAGTTAGACATTATTTTCCGCTCAGCGCTGAAGCACTGTGAGATGTTTGCATAGCATGGTTTGCCGAAATTCAATTTTGTGTTGCATTCAAAGTTAGAATCCAGAGTCAAAGTTACCCAAGTTCTGGAGCTGTTGTGATCTTAGTTTTGGTTGGGCCCACAACAGACAAAAGGGTCAACTGCATCAGTTTGTTAGAGTCAACATTTGGGCTTCTCAGGTTTGGGGATTTGTGTCTGTGCCCATCTCTAACTGTTCTGCCATGAGATGTTCAGCTCTCACTCCAAGCTTGGAAGGTCATGTGGATTCCCGGGAAAGTGATGTAGTTAAGCAGCGGAGGCACCTGAATCATTTGTATAACTTGGATCTCCTGCCAGTCTCTGAAAAGTGGCTGCCAGGCCATCCGTCCTCGTAGGCTGTCGACTTGAAAATGAAAGCTACGTGCAACAGCCATTGACTTGTGTGGTACATCCTACAACCTCTCTTCCCATGCCCAAGCCTGTGGGGGATGAGCAGGTGACCCGTTTCTCCCTCCAAGCTCTAAAGTGGTGTTTGGTCTCTGCTTGGTTAATGCCCCCTAAGGAGGTTCTTCTGGGGAGCAGGAGGGCAGAAACCACTTGTTGCACTCACAATTGGACAGAAAATTGACTGGTCTTTTTTTCTGATGACTTCCCAAAGAGCCTCACTTTTCACTGAGGACTCACATCTCCTTGCTCAGTTGTTGCATGAGCTCGGGCAGGTTTCAAACACTTCTAATCCGGCTGTTAGTGAAAGGAAATGGATAACTGGACTTTCCTGGGCTTCTTTTCTTAGGTGGTGGTTTATTGCCCATTCACTGGCATTGAACAAACCTTTCCTTGTGGGAAATGGCTGGACGAAGATGAAGGAGATGGACTGATAGAACGGGAGCTCTATGAAATGGTCTCCCTGCGTCAGAAAAGACTAAAGAGTATGTATCGTGGCAGACAGGGCACAAGAGGGTTTCTTCTGCCTTCAGATTTATATGCTATCTATCCTGACACAAAACAGGTAGGCTACATCTAGACTGGCATGATTTTGCGGAAATGCTTTTAATGGAAAACTTTTCCGTTAAAAGCATTTTCGGAAAAGCGCGTCTAGATTGGCAGGATGCTTTTCCGCAAAAGCACTTTTTGCGGAAAAGCTTCCGTGGCCAATCTAGACGGGCTTTTCCGCAAAAAAGCCCCAATCGCCATTTTTGTGATTGGGGCTTTTTTGCGGAAAACAAATCTCTGCTGGCTTACCCT